ATAAAAGCAACAGAACTGAAATTATATCACGTTTATTAGCAGCACAGCACATGAGTGTGAATAACGCGATATCTGCCTTTGATCTCGTTGGTATCTGTTCTACTTCGAGAGGTCAGAACTGTCCGTCTTGACTGCGCTTATTTCACTCCTCCCCTCACTGCAGCCGCCTTACTCTCGCCTACATTTCAGGCGAGGCGAGGCGCATCTCAAACAAACCTATTTTTGCAGAGATCTCGCGAGAGGTTACGGAAACTTTTCCAATGTAAGTTAAATATTAATATAATAATTAGGCTATTACTACATATAATTTGGTAGAAAAAATAGTGTTGCACGTTTTACTGGTGCAAAGATGCCTAGTGGTGATATTTCTTTTGTACAACATTTGCAACTGCTTTTCATCACTTAATTAGAAGCAGCTGCAACTTAAACTGTCATCTGTTATAGGCACTACTGAACAGATATTTAGAAGTTGATTTTAAAATGCAAAGTTTTTAAAATTAAAATAAAGCTATGCAAACACTTGCATTTTATAACACTATAAGTGTGTCCCATACGGTAATGAAAAGTTCTACACACACTTGTGGTCTTCATTCTCACTTGAACACTTGGGCCAAATACAGGACATACGTCATATAAGTAGTCAAGTGATAGTAAAAGACCGAAAGTGTGGGTATTTGGACAAGGGATATGTATGGCTGCAGCCTGGAGACCTCCAAGTGGGAGGGATTTACGCCACGAGCATGCAAACATCAATATAGCGTAATTTTTCTCACACTGTACAACAATAATTACTATTTTTGCATTAAGGGGGTAGGTTTAGGGTTGGGTTTGGTGTAGACGTTTAAAAAACACAAGCTGTAAATCTGTGTCATGTACAAGACATTAAATAAATCAAACAAAAGCCCCAGGAGGTTTGTACAGCCTACTTGGAGCTCAAGTCCCACCCAGGTTTATACCCATCTCGCTAGCGGGGCTCCAGCGCTACGTCATTGCCTGAAGTGTCATAGAGTGGGCGGGGCATCTCGATCGGGGATGAGCTTTAAACATGAGAGCATAACCTTAGGGTTGTGTTGTCTAGCATAACAGTCCGTTTCGATCTCAAAAAGCACTTCCAGCGGCGGGGGTGTATGAGGAGCATCAGAGTAAAGAGTTTTACCTCGATCAGGTAGCAAAGGAGGTGAAAGTAGGAGTGGAAGAGGGGGGGCTGTGGTTGGATTTAGTGAAAGAAAACAATATGGCCGCGGTGGAGCTGGAATGGATCCCTGAGACCCTGTACAACACCGCTATCTCAGCCGTGGTCGACAACTACGGCCGATCGCGACGGGACATCCGCTCTCTGCCTGAAAATATACAGTTTGATGTGTACTACAAGGTAAGAAGGAAAGCGAATGGGTTCAGTACGGAACAAACGTCAAAAGCATCTGACACATTTTCCTAGCAGCTCGGCTAACAAAAACTGAAGCTACCTCTTAGTGGAGCGCTGGTTAGGAGAGACTCGAGCTACGAGACGATTTAACCGTTAAGGTTTTCTGTTTTAAGAGTCCATTCGTTTTCTATGTGGCAGTTGTTGTGAAGACTGGTTGAAGTGGACACTGTGTTCCAGTTACCTTAGCCTGTAGCTTATCTGCTGCTGGATGAGATACAGCTCTCTGGGACTCAAGACTAGTTAACCATATAAAATTGTGACATCTCACTTTTTACCCTGTCAGCCTCATTTTCATGCGAGTATTTAAACCATAACCGTGTTTCTAACGACTTCATAAGATAAGACAACTGACACGATCTGTGAATGTGGTTTGAATGGTTTGTCACCAACTACTGTGAAAAGTATTCATAAACACTGTACAGTATAAAAGACAGTTATTAGACAACACAATAATGGAGGCATTTTAACACTTAATATTAAAAATACTTCTAAAGCATGTATTAATTAGGTAACGCATTTTAATACATTTATTAGAATCCAGTTGCATCTCTTATTATTATTTAATGCACCATGAGCTAACATAAACTGAAAATGAACAGTTGATTTTTTTTATTAACTAACTTTAACAAAGATTAATAAATACTGAAACAAATGTATTGTTAGTTAGTGTTAGTTAATACTTTAACTAGTGTTAACTAATGGGACCTTATTGTTAAGTGTTACTGCACAAATTTATGAATGGAACCATACATTATTTATTTAATCTTTTATTAACCTTTATGTAATGTGAAGTATGATAAAAAACTATATCAGATGTTGCATTGTTCATGTGGTTTGAGGCCACTTAGTGCAACCTGTTTGACTTTCCTTGTCTTTTTAATTTGATTAGCCTTTTTGGATATTTAGGTTGGCAAATATGTGATTAGAATTATTTTTTTTTTTTTTTTTAAACAAAGGCCATCAGAATTTATTGTCCACTAATGATTGAGGAATGATTTGAATTTTGTAAATATTTTGCATTTCTGTGTTACCAAAGAGTGGACTACATTTATTACTGTAGTATGTCAGTGTAGTTGAAATGACTTAACAAGTCAAGTTTAACTGAAACCTACAAGACCAGAAAAGAACTTTAATTGACGTAATTGTTCTTTCTTTGGGTAGTTTGGAGACTGTAGAAATCTTATGTTGCCTAACACCTATTTATTAAAAAAGTTCAATTCTACTTCGAATAGTGATTCTCAACCAAGGGGAATTCTGAGGGGGTGTAAAGATGACTTAAAAAGATTTTAAGTAAGACAAAACAAGCATTAAAGGGTTAGTTCACCCAAAAATGAAAATTAGGCTGCGTTTTACTCACCCCCGAGGCATCCTAGGTGTATATGACTTTCTTCTTTCAGACGAATCCAGTCGGAGTTATATTAAAAATTGTCTTTGATCTTTCAAGCTCTATCATTTCAGTCAGCGGGTGTTGCATTGCTTCAGTCCAAAAGACCTGAAATAAAAAGCGCCCTTCCATAAAAAAAAAAGTGTCTCACACGGCTCCGGGGGGTGAACAAAGGCCTTCTGTAGCGAATCGATGCGTTTTTGTAAGAAAAATATCCATATTCAAAACGTAATAATCACTTGAATCTAGCTTGCGCTCACTGTTGTAAACAGAATT